AAGAAAGGCACAAACAGCAAAAAGCACACAGAAACTCTTCTCGGGATAGGCGGCCTCTTCTAGGTAGAACCTGGTGTGACTTAGTGAAAGATGCAGTACAGGAATTAGCAGCATAGATTTGGGAGCAGACAGTTAGGCTTGAATCTCGACTCCACTGCTTACTTTTGTGAAGTCTGTGACTTCTGGCAGGTACTGAAGCTCTCTGCCTCACTTTTCTCTCTGTAGTATACCCTCATTCATAGACAATTTTTTGTGAGAACGGACATCGGTAACATTTGTAAAGTACCTCACACATTGCCTGACACACAGTACTAATGCTTATCTTTCCTAAACAGGTTTTTTAAAACTTATAATTTCTAAGGAATAATCCAGTTTACTAGTAACTACCATTTGCCTAAGATTTTACAGATGGCAAACCATTTTTAGGTACATCATCCCAGTTGAACCTCACAGTAACCTGTGAAGTAGATGCCATCATCACCCATTTTAGAGATGAGAAAACTAATATTCAGTAACTTAACCCAAGCCCCTCAGCTGGCAAGTGGGTCACCAGACTCCAGAACCCATGTTCCTTCCAGCCTACCACACTCCTTGGTGCCTCCATCTTCATGTAAATGGAGATGGACTTAGCATAAAGTACCAGGGCAAAATCTTCAGTTGAGAAAAAAAAGAATCAGCAGCCATCCAGGCTCCCTACAGAATCTCTAGGACAGTGTCCGGTCCCAGTAGCGATACAGAGATGAAGGTAATTCACCTTTATTATCTTTTGTGTGCCTAGGACTGTGGTAGTCACTTCCATCATTACTGTCTCACTTACCCTTACAGTAGCAGATACTGTTTCCCCAATTTTCAGCCAAGACCACAGAGATGATAAGACAGAAAGCTAGCCTTTAGGCCCAGGCCTCTTTCCACTGCCTCTCCTCTCTCCTCACCAAGCCACCTCTCCTTAAGCCAAAGTTATCCAGTAGGGAGCTCTCAGAGTTCCCTTTAAAGGCCTAGGATCTGAGGCAGGCACGGAATCTCTTGGAAAGCATCATTTGGGGCAAGATTGCTCTCCTTGGATTAACTTGAGTCCTGAAGACAGATATAGGGACTCTGTGTTGTCTCATCAGTGGGGGCACTTCGTAAAGATTGGGGTGTGTGCCCAGCTACATCTGCTGGCCCCTGATGACTTGAGCCACAAGAAAACTCTGAGTCACATCTGCCTCTGCTATTGCGCTGGTGCAGGAGATGACTACCCCAGCACTTGGGGCTGTACTTCTCTTGGTTTATGGTGCATTAAAGAGGCAGCATGCCTAGGACCAGCTCTCCTGGGTGTGGAAGTCAGAGAGGACCACCCTGGTTGAATCCCAGCTTAGCCACTTCCTGACTGTGTGATCTTGGACAAGACACTTTACTTTCTTTGAGCCTTAGTTTCATCTTCCATTAAATAGCTTTAGCAACACTCACTAGATGAGGGTGATGAGGTCATATATGTATAGTGCCTAATGCTGTTCCTGGCATGAAAGGGACACACATATACCCCCCGACCAACTTGTGCCAAGCAGAGTCACGAAGGGACTGGTGTGAGAGCCCTAGAAGGTTTGTGCTTTATGGGGCCCCACATTCCCAGGTCCCTAGGGGCTGTTCACTTCGCAGGCATTCATACAAGCATTTCCAGTGGACGCCACCACACACTAGGTGTGAACCTGGAAGAAGCTGAGTATGGAACCTTTCAAGGACCTCAAAGAGGACACACTAGCAAGCTTCCAGGTCAGGAGCCAAGAGGTGCCCATTTCCGGGCCCCACTGGGCCCCAGCCAGGTTTTGCCAGATCACGTAGCTGCAAGCATTCTCGGCTGAAGTGGCCTGAGATGGCAGGGGATATAGGGAGCCAGCCATTCAGCCTTTCTGGGAGCAGCTTTGTAGCCCGGCACCTGTGGCTGGAGTTCAGCTGTTACCATAGGATTTGGATTTTCTTTTCAAAAAGAAGAAAAACGAAAGAGCAGAAGAAAGCATCGCCCGTGTCTCACGTACTAAGGGGATGGTGTTTTGGACACACAGGGGAGAGCTGGGCTGCGTTTGGCCCGCATGTGAAGCGCTTTATAAGCTCTGTATTTATAATTTCTTGCTCGCCATTAAAATCAAATGTGCTTGGTGCTTTTGTATTCAATACACATTTAACCCTGCCGACTTAGATTTCGCAGGTTTTAAATCCAGTGGGGAATTGGCTGGTTTCCCAACTTTCCCGTCAAGTTCCCCCTTGAACAGAGCTTTAAATCCCTGGTTAGCATTTTCTCCCCCTGGCGCTGCTGCTGTCCTCACACTGGTGGGACCAGTCGCTCTTGTGTGTGTCTGTGTGGTTTTTCCCCTCATCCCCAGCCCCCGCCCTCCCTCAGCACCCCAGAAAGATGGGTGTGATCACTGAAATATGACGGGCACACTGTTGTCGGCATCATCTTATGATTTGGGCTTAATTAAACCATTTTGGCCGCATGTTTCAGTGCCTGGCTGTGGCTCTAGCTGTCCGTTGGCGGCCCTGTGTGTGTGAGAGAGAGAAAAAGAGAGATTCGTGTGTGTATGTGTGATTCGTGCCTGGGCCTCACCTCTGTGCATGCCTCTGTGAGTGTGTGTGTAGCTGTCTCAGTGGCTCTGTGCATGGCTCGGGATGGTTTTCTGTGAGTGTAATTTTGTGTCTGGCTCTGTCCACACCAGTCAGGTGAGTGTGACTCTGGGTGTGTCTGTGGCTGTGTGGGTGCCTGTCTCTGGGTCTGTTGTGTCTTTCTCTCCCTCCTCCGCCGGCTCTGGCTCCCTCCCTCCCCTCACCTTCCCTCTCCATGCTCTGTCTGTTTTATCATCCCTAATGAAGCAGTCTCCTCCATCGATCCTGCTGATTGCCAACCCATTCCTTTTGTTTGTTGGCGCTGAGCCATTCAGCGGCACTCTGACAGCTCAGCTCGTCTAATTAGCTCTGTTGTTCTTTTTCCCCATGTTTCACCATGTTGCAAGTTCACTCGAAGTTGCCACAAACTTAATCCCCCCATTTCAGCCACAAGTTCACATTCTTAACCCGCCTTTTTGGTAGCAAGGAGCAGCCATGTACAGGGACGAGCTGACAGGCCTTAATGTCTGACCTTTCCTGAAACCCTGGCAGGGCCTCCAGGGGCAGGGGCGGAACGTCTCCATCTCCCCACCTGCACATTGCTTGTGTGGTGAACGTCTGGGGGTCATTCCAGCCAGGTGACCCTGTTTACCAGGCTGCCGGAGAATTCTGGCTCTGGCTCGGGAAACCAGTTCAGAATTGGAATGGATGGGAGAAATATCCATTCATTTATTGAACAAATGTTGACTGAATGCTGCTTTGTGGCAAGCACTGTTCTCATAACAATGATAATAATAGTAACATCATGTACTTCTTAGACTCTAAGCAGCAGCATTCGTTCGTTTTTCAAAATCTTACTGCGTGTCCTGGATACAGGCACTGTGCTTGGAGGTAGGCCAGGATAAGGTCATCATCTTCTAATTCAGAGACCCCATCTCCCACCCAACCCAACCACCCAAATGTCTTCCATGTGTTATTGATAAGAAAGGGAAGTCCAGGTCAAAGAGAATCAGGATGAGCACTGATTGAGCCCCTGCATCGTCCCATTGAATCTCACAATGACCTCATAGAAGAAGACAGTGAGCTCGGTGGTGGAATGCACTTGGCTTTTACCACATCTCTGATTTGCCAAACAAGGCTGAGATCAGACTGGCCACTCCAAAGGAAAAACTGTGGTTAGATCAGACTTGCGGAGACCGGAGGACTTGAGGAGACTGTATAAACACCTTTCATGTAGCCAATTTCTGCAATCTGTGTTCCTAAGCCATTGTGCTGTGTCGCCTACAAATTGGGTGGGGTGGGGGTATTCAGGGATAAGGGCAGACAGGAAATGAAGTATGTATGTGTTCTCTCCATCCCTGCCTTGTCCACAAAATCCAGCAGTTATAGCACTTCCTACCTTGGTCCTGTCATCTGCAGAGAGAAAAAAAGCCCCACACCCCGCACTAGGATGCTTAGGTCATTTTTTTATTGGAGATGGAATTCACAGATAAGCTTGTGTGGTTCAGCTCCCCCCCCACCCCACCCCCCACCATCTCTGGCAGTAGAACTGTTTGGAGGTGATGATACCAAATTTAAAGCCATGTAATGTTGATTGGACCAGATGAGTATCCTTCTAAGGCACCTGAAAAGTCTTAGCCAACCCCCATTGCCAGCTCAGATGGGGGAGAAAGAGTGTCTCTTTCTATGGGCCCTCATCTCAGGTTTTCAGAGGTGTCAGGCCAGAAAAAAACCATCTTGTCACTGCAGCCCAGGCTGTGGGACTAGGAAGCTGTGTATTTCACTTTCAAATATGCCCACCGCTTCCCTAATGCCAGATCTGTGCCGATGAGTGTGGCCACATGAGGCGCGTGATGCCCAGGGTGAGCCCTGCTCAGGACGGCTGGCCCATGGACGCCCTGGGACACAGAAAGATGATTTTTATTGGAACCCCTCTAATACTCTTATTTGCTTTTTCTCCCGCATTTAGAGAGGAAAATAGGCATCCTGCAATTCAGCTGTAAAAGGAGCAAAATAAACATGTGAAACCTTTTTGTTCTATAAAACCCGTTTCTGGGTTCCAGAGCAAGGCAGAGAGAATTTGTCATTAATGAGGGCCCTTTGTTCTGGGCCCTGTACAGACATTATCTCATTGAATCCTCACAGCAGCCCTTCAGAGAGGCACACAGAACTCTCCCCATCTTGGAGATGAGGAAACCAAGCTCTTCAGGACAACCTTTCCTATTTGAGTGGGGCTCTGAGTCCCAGTTTATGATGCAAATTAAGTGGAAATGTTTCCATGAAAAATGGAGATTTTGTAGCCTGTGTCTTGAAAATCCCTAAACATCTCTTTTAAGGTCACTTATCCAAATCTTCAGGATGTTTCTGGACAGCTTTTCCAATTCACTTCTTCTTGGGGGTCTCCCCTGTCTCCTCTCTAGGTCCGCCCTCCCCGTCCACATGTTGTTAAGAGACCAAAGAGCAACATCACAGTGGAAAGCCGGAGGACATCTGTCCCGAGCCCTGAGCAGTGAGTACCCCTTTGCTTGCCTCCCCTCTGTCTGCGTGGAGAACCCGTGGGGCCAGCGCTTTGTGAAGCCCAAATGTGGAGCCTCAGCCTTTGAAAGGCTTCCGTGGAGCCCAGAGTGGGCATTTCACAAAGAGGTCAGTCGGGGAGCAGGGCTTGATCTCCAGTGTCAGCTTCCACACCAGCAGGAGGCCCCAGGGGCCAGGGAGCCGGGCCTGGGCTGGGTTTTGAGTGGTGAGGCCTAGGGGGTACTTGGACAGGCTCCAAAGAAGGTCTCCCACTCTTTCTCATGCTGAAAATGTAGAGTTAGCTAGAGAGGAACCTGATCAAGGAGGAAACCTGTTTAAGGAGGGTCACACCACTTTCTTGGGCCTGCTGGTGCCCAAGGTCTCTGCAGCTCTGATTTACACAGAGGACCATCCTTATCTACTGTCCCACCCCACCAGTACCCTTTGCTCCCCTGTGCCATAGCATTTGCTTAGTTACTATCATTTTTCTCGTCTACCTTGCCTCAGACCTTCTCAAGGGCAGGCATTGGGCTTTATGCCCAATACCGAGCATAGGGCGCAGCTGAAACTGCTGAGTAGGTGTCAGAGAGATGAGGTAAGAGAATGAGGCAGGCGCATAAGCAGTAGCCAGAGATTGAGCTACCTGAATGGGGTAAGGGTTAAAGGTACAGACAGCTACCTGACTCCAGGGCCAGTCTGGAGAAGGTAGCACTTCTACCAGCAGAGGAAGGCAGTTCTTCTCTTTCTCCCCAAGGCACATAGCCCTTGGTCTCTGCCCAGACACTCAGCAGCTACAGGCTGGCTTCCTGCGATGCCTTGAAAAAGTACGTGAATTCACCTTGGTCCAAGGTTACTGGGGAATCAGAAAAATTCCTCCAAGTATCCTGAAGTCTCTTGGGTATAAAGAGAACTGCCCCTCATGTCCATCTTGCTTTCAAAAAAGTTCTCAGGGAAAGAAGTTAAGGGAGATGGCAGATCCTAGCCAGAAGAGAAGCCAAAAGGTAGAAACGATTCTGAAATATGACACTGTGGTCTAACCCTGGTTGTGATACACTTCAGCTCTCCCAGGATTCTCTGCTTTACAATATAGTACTGCTTGAGAGTGCTGGCTTTATAGAACCAGCCTACCCATGCAGCCCCTCAAACCTTGCTGAGAAAGCTCTGGAGTGTGTGTGTGTGTGTCTGTGTGTGTGTGTCAGGGGTGCTTAGTTATGCAAAATTTGGAAGAGAGAGCTGCCTGGAGTTGGGTGTAGGTTTAACTTTTGCTCTGCGTAATAGGATGGAGGAAATGTTGAGGGCTAGGCTCCTGGCCATGACTGGCGTGTATTATGATTGCCCCCTTGTGGAGAAAATGCTGCATAGCTTCAGCGTTCCTCAGACCCTAAAGATTTCTTCTTACAGTGACTGTAAAGAGAACTTACCGTGACTCCAAACTTAGTCATTTTTCTTTAAAGTCATCTCTTTAAAACCGGGGAAAACCGTTTCAACACCATACTGGGATACAGGGTCATAGGCCTGTAGGTATTTGAAAGCAAACTCTAAGATATTCCTGCATTGCTCAAAAAGACCACAGACAAGTGGCACTCCACATTTTACAGAAATTTTGTAGCCAGTTTCCGAATGAGAGGTTGAACTTCTTTTATTCTGTTGCTTGTTCAAAAGCAGTGCTGGCGGATGAGTCGCTATTGTATGCCGGAAAGCCAGTATGTGATAATCCCAGTAACCTGGTTATTGCCTCAACTGTATCAGTATCACTTTTAGTTTCTTTTTGCAACATATCGTGTTTTTTATTTCTGTTTGGGAAACCTTTAGGGTTGAAATGAGCTAGTGGGAGCCTGGTGGCTAGTTTGCTGGGTTGGCAACCTGGCCATGATAGAAAATAAAGGACAGGTTCTCTGTGACCGTACATCACAGCGGCTTTAGCCCACGAAAAGATGGAGAAGTTCATTTCAGGACATCATTCCAAAGGTTTCTTTCCTTTTCACATTTTTTAATGATGTGGCGGGGGGATGCTGTTCTCCCATAATGCCAGAGACCTTTCTGGTGCAACACGGGTGTTTTCCTGCGTCTCTTCCCAGGCTGCCCTCTCCCACCCCCCTGCCGTGCTCCTCCACTTCCAAATGCCATGTCACAACAGCACTTGGATATGTTTTTCTCAACTGTCATCAGCTCCAGCTGGCAAGACCAACTTCTTGAAACACAGGAAGCATCCAGCGGAAAATATTTTAATAAAACAGACTCCCCATGAAATATTGTTCCGGGGAGGAAAGGACCCAGCTCCACCAATCTGTTGGCATTGTTTTGGGAGACTTGAGAAGACAAGCTGGCAGGCAGGAGCCAAATCCTAACGGGCCTTTGTTGGGGGGTGGTTCCCTGTTGGGCACAGGGACTCGATGCCTGGCCCTTTAATCTGGCCTGAGTTTTCTTGAATTACTGATCTCTGTCTCCACCGGTAATATCAAAGAGCATCAGATTTGGGTGGCAGAAATAGATGCAAGATCTTTGAACTTGAAGAGGGAGATTCAGTCCTCCTGACGTCTTGCTCTAGTTCTCACTTCCAAATAGCACATTAAATAATTAACTTGTGGACAGCAAGATGGAACTCATTAAGAATAAGACAGTTTCCATGGTCTCTTGCAGCAGCTCAGCATTCAGGGATTCCTCAAGGCCCTGTAGCATCGGCCATCAGCTCTCCAACCAGTTCGTCCATTGAAGTTCCTTTCTTCCTTTCTAGCTGATGTCCATCCATCCATTGATCCATCTGTCCATCCATTCATTTAGCCAGTTTCTTTGAAAGTCTACTAAGTGTGAGGTACATAGGATTTTTAAAGGGAGTCTCTGTGCTGAGTCTTTTGTTGACTTGCATTTTGCCAAAATGAAATTTCCCTATGTCCTTTTCTCTTCCTGAATCGGGGTAGATTTTCTAGCCCCTTAAAACCATTCGATTGCAATTGGAAGAATATATCAGAAAGATTTCTAGGAAAACATGTCCTCTGTTTTACAGTTAACATTAGCTGATTAATATTCAGTCAATATCTCTCTTCTGGAAGTATTAGCTACTTCCATTGTTATTCAGAACAAGGCTGATGGAATGCCTGGGGGATTCCCTAGGGTTAGGAGGATCAGGCAGGAGGGGCTGTGGGTTAGAGGCCAGTTAATAGGAAGTGTGATTGAGCATGTATTGTGTTCTAGGCCCTCTTATATTGGTATTAGTTTCCCTTCCACAAAGTGGGAATTTGGGCTCAGAAAATTTATTTGACCAGTGTCCCCCAGGTCACCCACTTAGAAAGTAGCAGGACCAGGATTCAGCATTCTGCTTTATTTTACCTTCTCTCTGTTACCCCCTGCCGCCCTCCCTGGGACAGGGCCCATGGGGGTCCACTTTAAGTCTGGCTTTGCCCAGAGAGCCAGCTTGTGTCCTCAGATGGCTTACCCAGCACCTGCCCCTTCCACTCTGATTCCCTGGAGCTGGGGATCGGAGTTGTTTGGACCTCCTAGACTGCCAAAGAAGCAGCACTCACTGGTGTCCAAGTGATTTCTACTTGGAGAAGGAAAGAGGAGTAACATTTACTGAACATCCATTAAGTGCCCTTTTATTTCCTCATAATGAGTGTGAAAGTCAGGAGGTGGCTTTCCCATTCAACAGGTGGAGAAACTGAGCCTCAGAGAAAGACTCATTAACTTGCCCAAGGTCTCAGCTTTAGAAAATGGTGGAATCAGCTCCGAACCCAACTGTCTTGACAACAGAGGCCTCCCCCTTTCTCCTCCACCATCCAGGTTTTTTGCTAAGAACCTGATTATGATTACGTGTGCCTCTGAGCGGTGAGGACGACAGGTGTGGTGTGGGTCACAGCTCCTACCCATTAAAGGTGGGCCTTGGTTATTTTCAGCTGTAGTGTGCATAGCCACCAGGCCTCAAGTTATTTTCGTTTTTGCTGGCCTGGTAGAGGGGAATTTCCCATCCAACTTGATGATTAGAAAGAGACAGTAAAAACCAGCTGCCATTGTGTTGACTCCAACTCGTGGTGACCCCATGTGTGTCAGAGTAGAACTGTGCTCCACAGGGTTTTCAGTGGCTGATTTTTCAGAAGTAGATCACCAAGCCTTTCTCCCAAGGTACCTCTGAATGGACTCGAACTTCCAACCTTTTGGATAGCAGCTGTGTTAACTGTTTGTACCACCCAGGGACTAGCAAGAGACAGTAGCAAACTCTGAAAGACAGCCTTGTGATTAGTACTGCCGCCCCTCCACAGACCCACACACTATGCAGACTGAGGTCAAAGGCAGAGAGTGGCCATGGGGATCCCCAGGTGCCTTCTTCTGCCACTCAGCCGGCACCCACTGATCCCCTGCTGGGAGGCAGCAGTGGGGGCCAGAGTTGCTGAAGCTACAGAAGGAGATAATTACATGCAGCCACTGCCTGATTTAATCTTCACAGCAACCCAGAAGCATCGGAGTGTCTTCTAAGTCTCAGTGGTTAAAGGGCTTGCAGTCACTAGTATATCTAAGATGGACCTAGCCCTGACCACCTACAAAGCCTGAGCCCTTTTGTCCCTAATGGGTGAGACAGAACACCTTCGAGTCACACAGGGGGCCTGACTGGCTGCATCCTGGGTATTTGAAGTTTCACTGTGTTAAGTAACAATGGTCCAGATTCAGCCACCAGGGGCCCACAAGCCATTGCCCTGCTCACCCCTCTGGTCAGATGCATCTAAAAATCTGCTCTTTTTGAATAACCTTTTTGTTTATAAAATTGATGTAATAGCCTTATAGACAATTTGGAAGTTAGGAAAAGAGAAAATTCACTGAATCCCACTACTTTAATTCAACTGTTTATTAGCATTTCTGTAGATTCCCTTCCAATCTTTTTCCTGTGTATATCTTACAGGGCTGCAATTTTCTTGCAATATTGGATCATCTGGATTTTTTTCCCACGTCTTTGTAACTTTTGTCATGAATGACTACAAAGATCCCACTGTATGGACATATGTGGTC